CATTTCCTGGATGCAGAGGGGAAGTTCCGGAGGAGAGATGCCTTCCTGCCCTTTTCAGCTGGTAAAATTTCCTTTAGACCTGATGATTTCTATTTCAGTTGCTTCTTTATTGTTAAATTGTTAAATCATCTTCTGAAGGTGCATGTAATAGGATCATCGTAAAATACATGAAAGTGTTGTTTTTAAAATTGAAAAAATGTTTTTCCACAGGGAAGAGAGTGTGTCTGGGGGAGCAGCTGGCTCGGATGGAGCTCTTCCTGTTCTTCACCTCCCTTCTCCAGCGCTTCACCTTCTCTACACCCCCAGGCATGGAGCCCAGTCTGAAGTTCAAATTGGGGGGCACCCGCAGCCCCAAACCCTACAAGCTGTGTGCTACCCCCCGCTAAGTTATCTGTTGGAAATAAGTCAATGACAGTTAAAGTTCCAGAGGTTTCTCAAAACTTCCCACGTCACTGTACTTCAAGTGTGATGTGTAACAAATACTGGTATTTCAAGATTCAGGGTTCTCACCTATTTTTATGGGCTTCATTATTAAATTTATTCATTAAATTTTTTGTTGATTTTGAACATGTATAAGTCACTCAGTAACATCACAAGCTGCAAAGTAGTATACATCCCTAATAATTCAAGTTGTAGTTGGCTACTGGTGAATGGTGAAAATGAATTAATTAATGATAACAACAAGACAGCATTAATGGGAATGTTTTCTTGTAAAAAATACATTTGTACCTAACAATTGATGTATGCTGCACTCTTTTGAAATTGTACTTGCCTGTCAAGTTACATTGGTGAAAATGAAACAATGAAACAAGCTGGCAAACAATGGGGCTAAATGGGCAGGAGGCAGTATGTAGGGAACTGCCGGGGGACTGATCATGAGTAAGGCCAAACCGCGGCAGCGAGACAATGTGTAGTCGCGCCAAACCGCAGACGGCACCATCAGCGGAGCCGTGTGGAATATATCAGTCATTTCTTCAAAATAAAACTCAAGATTAAATACGAGTACATAGCTTTGATCTAACGGAGGGCCTGCAAGGAACATTTCCTCTGCCTTCTTAAAATCAGTATTATGGAGTGCAGAAAGGCCATAGATGGTGCACTGGAATAAAACTCATGATTTATCTACCAAATAATAAGCTCAGCAACTTAATCAATTGCATTCAAAATTCAAAATTAATTCAACACTTACCTCTGGCATCAATACATCAACAATGAACTTGATTTTATCCTCGATCAGCAAAACAGTAGAGGTCCTGTCAAGGAAATCTTTAAGGTATATGAAAGGTATATTGTTTTGCTGTTCATCATCCTCGAAATACACAGGAACGATGTAAGAAGATGGTTTCAGAAACCTTGTCAGATACTTTGATTTCTTCTTGCCCGTTAATATGCCCTATGACAAGGAAGCACACTAAACAGTCATGCACCACATAATATAATAACGCACTCTATAATTTTCAAATTACAGATTGTAATCTACTCTCTCCTTTCCTTAACTAACCATTCAGTACTTATAGTGTGAAAAACATGTTCTTTCATTTTGTACTACAACTAATAGCTGCTGAGGGTTGCAAACAGTGGGATTTCTTGGTACAGTACAACAAAAACACATTTATGTTACTTTAATGTGTATCATGGCTACTAAATGCATAATTTGCCTGTGTTAGTTCTTACTTATAACTATTGAAAACATTAAAGGAATAATATCTTGCATTCAGTTGTTCTTTTGCCACTTGTTCCTTGATAAGGTCCACAGGCTTTTCGTTGTTTGAAGTACGCTCACTGAGCACCACCTCATGTTTTGGGGTGCTATGACTTATTTTAGATGTACTGGATACCCTGTATACAGGCTGCCACTTGCCCTGAAGGAGGTCAGTTGCGTCAACAGTCCAAAAGGCAAATCTAAAGCCATGTCTGAGAGAGAAATAAGAGGAGCTATGGTTAACAAGTTCACTTGCATGGTAATCTGCACCTTAGAATATATTTTTTTCTGCAAAATAATATATAATATTAGCAAATACACATAATAATAAATTATAAAAATAATATTTTGAGAAATGCAACAATAGGTAATTGGCTTATGTTTTAATTCAATATGCTTCTGATTTTAAACACGTTATAATATTTATCTAAATATTCCTAAAGAAATGCGTGTATCCATTAAACTTTTACACGCTTTTATACAGCTGCACAGTAAACTTACCTTTAAAATCCAATGCTCTTGTTACATGAAGATTCATATGGGCCTCAATCACTGTCTTTTTGCTGGGTTTAAAGGTAGGACACAGCGGGCAGTGAAAAAGTCCCTTACAACAAACATGGCATTCTTCTAGAGCTGGATAGGAAATTTTGCATCTGAAAGATTTTTTTCCAATAGTCAGCCAGTGTGTACAAAAACAATATTACGTACCATTGTAGCACTATAATTTCTATAGAGGCTATTAAATAAACTTTTATTGCTAATAATGTTTTTGTAATAATTATGCAAAGAATTAAGTGCCTGGAATACAGCCACTTCTGACGATGTTTTCTACCTTGTCGAAATATACTACTGAAGTGCGGATCGAACAAAGAATCGAAAAAATATACCGTGTCAAATTATGGTTAGTGTGTAACTACATGAAATGACACAAGGAATCGGCACTTGTTCACAACGAGAGCATAGTACGATACTCTTTTAAAACTCAAACATGTTAAATATCATGATATATTTGATCAGTGCATTCATGGTATCACGTCTCAACGCGATTGAACACACAATTAAAAAAAAAAAAAATTACGAGCAAATATTTTTTTAATTGTAAAGCTCTAAGGAACTTACCTTGACTTAAATTATGACTGCACTTAAAACGAAAATATTGTTATTAAAATGAACAACAAAAGAACGCTAAATTAAAATCTAATGGCGAAGCACAACATCTCAAACTATATTTTTCGCTCATACAAAAAATATCAATGCTACGTTATTCCCGTTACGTATTTCCGCTAAATCTCCACATTGCTCCATTTCTCCATGGAGCGGACATGCGCGGCTGCAGCCAGACCCTTCTCGCTTCTGGGAGCTCTGCGTTTCTATGCTGCAGGGAGCTACTTGGAGGTAGTTGGAGATGGGTATGGGCTGAGCAACTGCACTGTGTGACAGTGTGTCGAAGCAGTGACAAACATCCTCCTATCTCCTGTGAGGACATCCATCTGCCCTCAACAAGACATGAGATCATTGATGTTCTCCAAGGTTTCCATGCAATAGTAGGCACCCCCCAATTCCTGGGTTCAGCAGATGGGACACTCATCCCCATTGCAAACCCATATCTGGTCCTTCATTTCCCAGAAGGGGTATGCAGCCATCAATGTCCAGGCGGTGATGGACCACAGGGGCAGACTCCGGGATGTGGTGGCAAAGTGGCCAGGCAGCACCCACAGCAGCTTTCTGTGGGCAAATTCAGCTGTGATACCGAACAAAGGATCTTCAGCCAGAATGTGTTCTTCAGAGACAGCGGCTATCCCCTCTGATACTACCTCCTAACTCAAGTCAGCAATCTGGTGATGCAGGCTAAACAGCAGGCAGGTGTTTGTAGAAGCAGTCTGCATGTCTAGGTGCTTAATTTTATACACCTGAGGATATGGGAGTGATTGGAACACCTAAATTCAATTATTTAGAGGGATGTCCCAGTACTTTTGTCAATATAGTGTAGGTCTAGCATACTAGCAAACTATATTTATTCCCTCTAACTATGCTGCATAAAAATGTAAATGGTCAGTGGCTATCCTTTCTCATATCTAGAGGCATGGCAGTGGTCCACCTTTTGCATGGAGGTGATTTCTCATGTTTATTTTCATGGAAGGCCAAAGAGCAGTTTCTGTCTTTGTTTAGACAAAGGTTGACTTTGCATTTGAAATTCTTCAGGAGGTATGAGAAGAAACTGTCGACGCAATTTTTTTAACCATGACCTGATTTTCCACAGTTTGTCTTTTTTCTGGTCATCAGACACACTGAGGTTGTCCTGAAAATGAATCGCTGTCAGCAATTTGAGGGATCGTTCACGAGACATCACATCACACACTGTGGGGTACCTTGTCTCCATCTCCCAATAGGTTCGTACATTGGGCATCAATTCCAACCCCGTGTGTATGTACATGCCAAGAACCTGTTCAGTTTCTTTCTGTGTTGTGTTTACTGACTCTCTCAGTTTCTGTACACTGTTCAACTTACTTTGTTCTGCAGTCTTCTGAATCATTTCAGCTGTATTAAACTGCTTAAAATACATGTATGGTGTCCATTCTGACCTTTCTGCAGCAACGTCCTCAACATATCCATGAAACTCAACATTTAAAGGTTTAAATGGCACTTTTCTCCACCTGTACTCTTTCTTTTTCACTTTGCCCTTTGCTGACTGCTCTGTCATGCTTTGTTTTGACTGCACTGGTGTCTGATTCTTCTACACTTTCATCTCTCATATGTTCATCACCACAATCTGATCCCTCCTTATTAGCCACTCCCTTAGGACTCCATTCTTCCCTACTGCCATCATCCTCCTCCTCTAACTGCTCCAGGTCACTTGAATTTCCATCAATTGTCACATTCAAGACAATACTACTTTTCCCCCATCTAAATGTACAAATCAAAATCATACAAACAATACATTGTCACATTTACAAACTATATATAATCTATTTCAGCAATCAGCATGAAAGTCAAATTCTTCTCAAAATGTATACTAGAAGAAATACTCAAGCTTAAATTCAGTAATATATTAATTCTTGTTTTGACAACAATTGTTGTATTATGGTATAAATAGTACGGATTTAATCAAGAAATGGACTAAACTGATGCACTGACCCATAAAATACATTTACATACCTGTAGTATCATATTTGATACACACATTTTCACCACCGTTTTTCTATAAAATATTTCATGACATATTAAGTAATTATGAGTTGCTTCACACTAATAAATAGGGTGGCCCAGACAGGCCAACGTAATGCAAAAGCCACAACGCAAATACAAATACAAACAGGCCGCTGCATTTCCATATGTTGTGGCTCATTTCCGTTGTGGCTTTTGTATTTTTCTTGTGGCTTTTGTGTTTGTGTTGTGGCTTTTGTACAGTATTTGTGTTGCAGCTTTTGCATTACTTTGACCTGTCTGGTCCAGACTCATTTTGAAATATAATCAATTTTCATGACATTGTGCTTACTGTAACTGTTCCAAAAATAGGACTTCATATCCCATGAAAATCCTGCCGGTTACAACGTGAGTGCAGCCATATTGGATTTTTGAGGAAAAAAAAATAAACTTCTACCACCTGCAGTTCTACCACCAGAGGGCAGAAGACATGTATAGGATTGTATACAAGTTATTGTGGAAAGGGTTACTGACATAGAGGTCTTAGAAATATTGGTATCAAATATCACACATGTGGCGTTAAAAGGGGAACACTTATCTGTTATTTGTTTATAAAGTTTATGAGCATACAATGCATATATATTTTTTTTAATTGCATATCGTTATTGAATAATGTTAGCATGGGTTAAAAAACTAAAGTGAATGTCTACATTCTGCCTTTATATGTATATAACTTACAAAACTTAGAATTAAAGGGGAAAGTAGACATAATTGATTGTTACGTTGGTGGTTTAGTTGTTTATTTGCTTTGTGACTGTACATTTGAAAGGCAGTAGATGTCACTGGTACCACACAGGCTGCACAGATCGCCAGCTGGGAAATAAGCCACAGAGAGACTTAACTCTTAACTATTTTAACAATTTCTCATGTTGGCCGATCAAGCCAACTGTTCTCTTTCTTTTTATTATTATTATTATTCTCAATGCTATTTTTTCCAGTTTTCAACAACCACCAGACTTTTCACAATTCATTGTCCTACTGTGTAGCAGGTTGCTTTGTGTTTTGGGTCATTTTCCAATCACTCTCACGACAACAATTCTCATTGTGGATTCATTACTGTGGACAGTAAGTAATTGTGGATTCATACAGCATTTATTAGTTTTTATCTTGTTCACCCCATCCACACTCATCTTTTCATTCTGCTTTTTTCCACATTCAAATCACTGCATTTTTTCAAAATCATTCTCCTGTCTACACAGTTCCACGTACAGAAATGAAATTCACCTTAGGCCAATATCAATAAATTATTCGCTTTTGGACCCCTAAACCTGCTGTTTTATTAATCCCTACATCTGTCAATTCATCTCACTGTCAACCACTAGTCCTACCCACAGCTGTCCAAACTAGTGATGCACCGAAACTTTGGCATCTGAAAATATGTGGCCAAAAAAGCCAAAAACTGTCAAAATCGTGACATATAACACTAGAACTGCCATCGTTTTTTGACCTATTTTAACCTCTAGCTGCCACGTACTTCAGCATATGACACCTTTTGTCTTCAGTAATGGGCCATTACGTTTGCATAACGCTGGCACAGTCATTAATTATTGGCACAGTCAGTAATTCCCACAGCTGCCGAGTTGCTGTCACCACAAATAAAGCGGTAGCACCCATAATCAAATCGTGTTTATTGTATACGTTCAGTGTACCTTTGTATTCCTCATCTGCTGCTGGGAAAAATTACTCAATTGCATATTGACAAATATATATAAAGTACAACTAAAGGTAATACTGTAAAATGCAGTCAGTATATGTGTGGTAATTGATCAAAAAAACCACCAAAGACATGTATAGACTGTGAGTA